CAGACTCTCTGGCAAGGCTAGTGGGCTTCTGCTCGGCCCTGAATCCTGCGTCTGGCTCCTGTTCATCTAACCTTTGGTTCCTGGGACTAGAACTAGCAGTTTACCTGCAGCCTTGCCTACCGATCTCCAGCTACGTGAAGCCTCCAGCCTGACCGACAACCGAATGAGCCATTTCCTTGATATAAATCTCTTTATACAGATATTTATATGCTTTACTGGTTTTGTTTCTCTAGCGAACCCAGCCTAAAACACCTGGTACCGAGAGATGTTTTAGAGAAACAAAATTGTAACGATGAGTTTTCTAAATTGGTTCTCAAGTCTCGTTAGTCCTAAAGATGTGGATGACTCTACTTCTAGTAGTAAAGAGGGCATTGCTAATCCATGGCATCAGGTGGCAAGAGAAATATGCAAAATATCACCATCAGGTATTGGCGAAAGGCAAGGCTCTGGGTGACTGCATGTGTGATACCTTTCTACAATTTTGTCATAATGAGAAGTATAAGGAAGCTGGTTGGTTGGTTCTACTTTCCCTAGACAAACTGGTGAAAGAAACAGATGAGCTCAGGGCTTCAAAGCTCAAGTGCTGCATAAATGATCTCAAAATTTCCACTTGTGCCTTAAAAGAAAGTCTTCTTTCTCTTAGTAACAGAGCTGATATTGCTGAACACCAAACCCAGAGTCTTACAGAAAGAGTGGCTGAATTACAACGTCAACTCAATTGCCAATCTTGAGAGGTATCTGAAGTTAAAGTGAGGGCACTGATTGGGAAGAAATGGGATCCCGAAACTTGGGATGGGGACATATGGGCAGATAATCAGGAAGCTGGAGACACTGACCCCCTAAATTCTGTTGAATCACTCCTGCCAACAGAACGAGCCCTCTCACTTCCATCTGAAGAGATTACTCCGTGTTTGTCTGCTAAACCACCCTCCCTAGAAAAACCATTAGCTCTTCCACTCCCATCTAATGAGATTAGCCCTAGCCCAGCTGCCTCTAAAGAGCACTTGGCTGAGTCATTGCCTGGGACATCGCCTGAGGCAGATGCTTTACAAGACAATGCTGAATGTTCTCAGAACAATTCCACACTACTGATTCTGGCTTCTAGACCTATAACTAGGCTTAAGTCCTAGGGAGCCCCAAAAGGTGAAGTATGAAGTGTAACCCAGGAGGAGGTGTGCTACACTCCAAAAGAACTGCTTGACTTTTCTAATGTGTACAAACAGAAACCTGGGGAATATGTGTGGGAATGGCTACTAAGGGTGTGGGATAATGGTGCGAGGAACATAAAGATGGATCAGTCTGAGTTTATTGATACGGGCCCACTAAGCAAAGATAGTTCAGTCAGTGTTGCAGCTCAGGAGGTTAGGAAAGGATCTAATAGGTTATTTGGTTGGGTTGCTGAAGCATGGATTATGAGGTGGCCGACACTAAATCAAGTTGAAGTACCAGACCTGCCTTGGTGTACTGTAGAAGAAGGTAGCCAAAGGCTTAGGGAAATCGGCATGCTAGAGTGGATTTATCAGGTTAGACCCACAGAGCCACACACGGAGTGCCCAGAGGACACACCCTTTACCACAACTGTGAGGAACAAATTTGTGAAGGGAGCCCCAGCATTCTTGAAAACTGCTGTGATTGCTATTTTATGTCAGTCAGATTTGACAGTGGGAACTGCCCTAACTGAATTAAGACACCTAACTACAATGGGGTTGACGGGACTCCCTGATGGTAGGGGCCAAGTGGCTGCACTCAATCAACAAAGACAAGGTAAGCATGGTGACCATAATGGACAGCAGAGGCAAAGCAGTAATCAGAATAGTCTGACTTGTACGGACTTACGGCGTTGGCAACTTAGTCATGATGTCCCTATAAACAAATAGGAAATCTACTAAATATTTACTTGATCGGTACAAGTGGATGGATTCTAGGTCAAACGAACAGCAGTCTAACTCGAATCACCAGAATAGAGAGTCATGGCCTCTCAGTCAATTCCCAGACTTGAGCGAGTTTAAAGACCCACAACCCCTTGAATGAAGGGGAGGCCGGGTCCCCTTGAGGAAGGATTCCAGTCCACTGCCAAAAACTTATACTGTTAATCTTTCTCTTAGCCTTCCCCAAAGGGATCTACAGCTGTCTTAGTCATCTAGTGCTGCTATAACAAATCCCACAAATAGATGGCTTTAACAAAAAGAAATTTATTCTCTCACAATCTAGGAGGCTAGAAGTCCGAATTCAGGGTGCCAGTTCCAGGGGAGGGCTTTCTCTCTGTCGGCTCTGAGACAAGGTCTTCATCATCATTCTTCTCCGGTCAAGGAGCTTCTCCGCGCAGGAACTCCGGGTCCAAAGGACTCGCTATTCTCCTGGCTCTTGTTTCTTGGTGGTATGAGGTTTCCATGTCTCTCTGCTCATTTCTCTTTTTTCTATCTCAAAAGAGACCGACTTAAGACACAACCTAATCTTGTAGATTGAGTCCTGCCTCATTAACAGAACTCGGTAATTCCACCTCACTAACATAGAGGCAGAATTTACAACACATAAGAAAATCACATCAAATGACAAAATGGCGGACAATCACACAATACTGGGAATCATGATCTAGCCAAGTTGACACATATTTTTAGGGAACACAGTTCAATCTATGACAACGGCCTTTTACGAGACAGACTATTCATTGGGGAAAAGGAAAGAATCAGCTCCTGTTCATCTGACCTTAGGTTCTTAGGACTAGAGTTAGCAGCTCACCTGTGGTCTTGCCGGCCGATCTTGGGTTCGCCAGTCCCTCTGGCTACGTGAATCAGGGAAGCCTCCAGCCTGACCTATGGATTTGAGATGTTCTAGCCTCTACAACTGCGTGAGCCACTTCCTTGATATAAATCTTTTTATATAGATATTTATCCACTTTACTGGTTTTGCTTCTCTGGAGAATCCAGCCTCAGACAGTGTTCAATGTGTCAAATCTCTTCTTGAGATGGTCTCTAAATTCAGGTAAGATATACTCAAGGTTGTACTTTGGCTCTTGTGGACTTGTTTTAATTTTCTTCAGCTTCAACTTGAACTTGCATAGGAGCAACTGATGGTCTGTTCCACAGTCGGCCCTGGCCTTGTTCTGACTAATCCTATTGAGCTTTTCCATCAGCTATTTCCACAGACGTAGTCGATTTGATTCCTGTGTTTTCCATCTGGCGAGGTCCACGTGTATAGTCACTGTTTGTTGTTGAAGAAGGGTATTTGCAATGAAGTCACTGGCCTTGCAAAATTCGACTCTACTTTGAGGAGGCAGCTCTTCCCCAGTTGTATTCTGAGTGCCTTCCAACCAGAGGGACCCATCTTCTGGCACTATACCAGACAATGTTCCGCTGCTCTTTATAAGGTTTTCACTGGCCAGTTTTTTCAGAAGTTGACCTCTGGGTCCTTCTTCCTAGTCTGTCTTGGTCTGGAGGCTCTGCTGAAATCTGTCTATGGTCACCCTGCTGGCATCTGAAATACCGGGGCATAGCTTCCAGCATCGCAGCAACACTCAAGCCACTACAGTATAACAAACTGACAGACGCGTGGTGGATACACACACACACACACACACACACACACACACACACGATTTAGATTGTGTATCCTTTCCCAAACTACGACCATAAAAGCAGCCCCAGACTGCTCTAACAAACTGGGGCATACAGAGCCTTGTCCCCCACAGCCCTATGACTACCTGACAGGTTAAATGCTTATTTTGTGCGGTGCCTGTCCTCCCCCTCTGAACGTACACTCCATGAGAGCAGGAATTGGTTTTATCCATCCCTATGTCCCCGGCACCTACTGCGGCTGAGCGCCTTGCACATAGAAGGTGCCGGAAATTAATTACTGAATGAATAGGGTCTAACATATGAGCCCAGTGGGGTGTTCTGACAGAGATCGTATGTTTTGTTGTGTTGCGGAAGGACATAACTACGTGTTCAGTGCCTTGATGGACTAACCCTGTACCCTAAACTATACAATAATGGCATGTCTCACAACGGTGCTCCTCGCAGCTCGGCAGCCCCGGGTCAGGCGGGGGCATGCAGGCTCTGGGGCACCAACCCAGGGGCTGGCCGTGTCTTCTCCCTGAGGCCGTCGAAAGGACAGATGGCCAGGGCCTCCACTCATCTCTTGTCTGACCAATGAGGATACGCCAGCCCAGAGAAACAAGGCTCATGGTCACACAGGGTGGGTGGCCGAGGCAGGGGCCAGAGTGGGCACAAACCCTGCACGTGGTGCCCGGGGCCCAAGGTCCTGCCAGCCGGGGCCCAGCTGGTCAGAGCTGAGCAGGGCTTGTCTAGGGAGTTTGTGGGCGTGTGTGTGCATGTGTCTGTGTGTGTGCAGCTCACGTGTCTGTGTGAGTGCACGTGCGTGCACGTGTGAGGGCGTGCGTGTGCATGTGTGTGTACGTGTGAGTACATGTGAGTGTGTGTATGTGTAAGGGTGCGTGCACGCACGTGTGAGGGGTGCATGCATGTATGCACGTGAGGGCATGTGTGTGCATGTGTGTGTGCGTATGTGTGAGTGTGTGCGTGTGTGCGCACGTGTGCGTGCATGTGTGCACACATGTATGTGAGTGTGTGGTGTGCGTGTGCACTTGTGCGTATGTATGTGCATGTTTTGTATGTGCGTGTGCATGTGTGTGTGTGTGAGTGCGTACTTCTCCAGAACTCAGCATCACCCTGGCAAGGGTGTTTCAGGTGGAGGGAACAGCACCCCCCGGGATGGTTTCCCCAGAAACCTGGTCAGCCCCTCCCAACGCCACTGACGGCCCGCCCCTCTGCCCTCTCCTGTCCCCACCTCCCTGCCCCACCTCACGCCGAGAAGGTGGCTTTGAGAACAAAGCTCTGTGGATCACCCTCGCCCCTCTGCAGCATCCTCTGCAGTGGCACAGTCTGGGACCTGAGGTACTCTCCCTGAAACAGGCTTCCTCCTGCTGTTTGCTACGGTCCCCTGCCAGGCTCCTGGCCCTGTCCTCCCCCGCAGGCTCTTACCGGTGGCACCTTGGTGGCGGAGCCTGGGGTTGGCGGCCCTTCGTCCCTTGGCAGAGCCATGCCATTGGGCTCCATGTCCTTCCCTGCAACAAAGTGGCGGGGGTGAGGCGCGGGACAGGGCGGGTGGACACAGAATGGCCTGGGAGGGGAAGGACGCCAGCCCGGGGTGGCAGCAGTGGCTGAGGATCCTGCCCCGATGAGATGTAATCAACACCAGGGAGCGTCACCACTGGGAGGGACCCAGGAGCTCTGGCCCAGTCCCCCGACCCACAGGGAGCCCTGGTCTGCTGATCCAAGGCTGGGGGCCGAGTACTGGTGCGGCTTTGCAGGTTTCAGACGGAGAACGTGGCCCCAGCAGCCTCAGAGAACTCACAGCAGGTTCAGGGTGCCCGGGCCACGGCTGCCTCCTCCCGCCCCCTGCAACCTCTGGCCGGGATGACACCGCCCGAGCGGTCAGACTCTGTCCCTGACCCCCCGCCCCTGCCTGTGAGGCCCCCATCTTCTTTTCCAATCACCTCCCCGACTTTGTTAGTTTGGAAGCTGGTTTCCAAAGCCACGCTGATGGGCTCCTCAAAACCAGCTGGGAGTAGGCTGCAGGAAGGAGGGGACAGGCCCAGGGGACCCAAAGCCAGGGGGCCACTTCTGCTGCTTCCTGTGGCTTGGTGGGCCGACAGCCTGCTGCCCGGCTCCCTGGTGCCGAGAAGCAAGGCGGTTACAGCCAGGGGTGACATTCACCCTGCCGAAGCCACAGGACGCCACGCCCTCCCTGAGCGTGACCGGCCAGGCGGCAAGGGGCGGGGCGGTGAGCACAGACACTCACGGAACCAGCTAGAAGGCTGGGGGCTCTGCTGACCTACTTCCCGAGAGCCCCGGGAAGGGGATGGGGGGGGGGAGGGAGAGCGGGCCTCTCTGGAGCGAGAAGGGACTCTGCCCTTGGGGCCCATGGTCACCTGGGCCGGGAAAGACCCTGGAACAGCAGCTGTTCAGGGTCAATGGACATCCCTGCCAGTCTGCTCGCTGTGACCAACCCCTCAGACTCTGAGTTCCCATTGGAGAAGCTCCAGGTGGGTGGAAGCAGGGCTTCTGTCCATTTTCAACCAAACCAGTTGCCATCAAGTGGATTCTGACTCACAGCGACCTCACATGTGCCAGAGCAGAACTGGGCTCCACAGGGTTTTCAATGGCTGATTGTTCAGAAGTAGGTTGCCAGGCCTTGCTTCCGAGGCACCTCTGGGTGGACTCAAACCTCCAACCTTTTGGTTTGCAGCTGAGTGTGTTCAGTTTGCACCACTCTGGGGCTCCCTCCATTTTCAAGGGCCCTCTAATTCTAGGGGTTCTTGAATGCTGTCTGGGGACTCGGCTTCTGGCAGGGAGCCCCCCACCCCTGCCCCAATGCAGGCACTGCCTCCTGGGCCCGGGGTTGGGGGCAGGGGAGGCTCGAGAGGCCCTGTGCACTGAGGGAACAGGGGTGCGGCTCCTGGGAAGGCCATGGCCTCGATGTTCTTCTCCTGGAAGCGAGCCCACCTCCTCGGGGCAGGACCCAGCCCCCTCCCGCGCTGCCTGCGCCAGCACTCTGGGGATCCCCTTGGACAGACCACACCCTATGAAACAGTCCCTGAGAAAGACCCGCCCCAGGCTCCCGCCCTCGTTCCCCGTCCCAGGCCCGGGTGCAGTGCAGGGGGCAGAGGGCAAAGTTAGGATTTACTCCCCAGGTGTCCAGCTCTCCCGTGCCCTTGGCCTGCCATGGGGCTTGGGACAAGGCCCTCCCCCTCCGGCCTTGGTTTCCCCACCTTTTGGTGAGTTTGTGTCCAGGACTGGGCGTGGTCCTGGCCAGATCAGGGGTCCTGGGGCCTGGGCTCTGCTTGCCCCCACTCCCTGGCAGCAGGGACGGCTAACAGGGCCAGCAGGTGATGGGAGAAGGGGTAGCAGGCCAGATGAGGCCAGGACGGGCACGGCCGGGCCCACAGGGGATAGATGCCTGCAGGCCAGGTGCTGGCCCTGCCCTACCTCCCAACACCCATGCTCTGGGGGCAGACTCCGCTCCAACTAGCTGGGGCCTGAGACAATGATACCGTCCGCAGGCACAGGTGACACCGTGCCCCACCTGCTGGGCACCAAATCTATGAGCTGCATGAGAGCAGCCCCCATCTGAATCGCTCCCTCCCAGAGCGCGGGTCCCTTCATAGTGGGAGTAGGTACTAACGTCATCCCCATTTTACAGATGAGGAAACTGAGGCCCACAGAGGTGCAGCAGCTGCTCAGGGACACCTGGCCAGGAAGAGGCAGAGCTGGGTTGGGACTCAGGCTGGCCTGTCCCCGAGCCCATGTTCTAGACCACCATCCCCGAACAGCTTCTCGAGGACGACAAGCTGGCCTGTGGGGCCCCTCCTCGGCCTTGGCAGCCAGGAGGGCTTCTTCTGGACCTGAGGGTTTTGCTAAGAAGGCCACCTTACCTGGCGCCCTACTGCTTTGCAAAGCCCTTTAATTAAACCCACTGGCACTGCGCTGGGCGTGAGTGGGGCAAGGCTCTTGGCCAGCCTCCCTGGTCGGGAGTGGCACAGAGAGGCCGAGGGGGCTGTCTCGTGTCACACAGCACAGCAGGCGGGAGCCCCGGCCCAGCAGCTGCCCCAGAACCCTGCCTGCCCTTCCCCAATGCGGCCAGGGCCCTGTCCCCAACTCGGCAGCACTGACCTGGGCTGAGCGGGTAGAGCTCATTCTCTCCCCTGAAGAGCAGGTTGCGGGTGAGCTTGCGGGGGTCGACTTTCTGAGGGGTGGAGGACGGCGGGCAGAGTGAGAAGCGGCGCCGGAGAAAGGCCTCCTCCTTCATGGCGTGGGTGGCTGGGGGTTTCTGCAGTGAAGTGGAAAAGACACACGTCACACCTCCCTTGAGCCTGGCTCCGCAAACCTGCCCGTAGGATTCCATGAGATTCCCCCCTTCCTGAGTCCTGGATGGCCCCCCACCTGCCCAGGAAGGGGACCCAGATAAAGCAGGAACGCCGGGATGGCCGTCAGGGCAACTGCCTCTTACACTCGGGAATCTCAGAGGTGGGACCAGGAGGAGCTGGTGGGTCAGCAGGGGCGGTCGCCCGGGAAGGCTGGGCGCATGCCCGGCTAGAGAAGGGTGTGACAGAGCCCCGGGTATGGGGCCCATCACAGCACGGCAGGCCCCTTTTGGGGTGCCTTTCACTAAGAACCCCTACCCCAGGCCCAGTGAGGAACTGGGTCTGTGGGATCCTGGCCACCGCCAAGTGGATCAAGGTGGCTGCTGACCCCACCGGGTGGCCCGATTTCCCCTCCGAGTGAAGAAGTCAACGGCACGGCAGCTGGTCTGGTTTTTGTAGTGAAGGAGTAAGACTGCCCCGATGCAGGCAGATGGAGGCAGCTGAGAGAGGGGGGTGCAGGAGGAGAGGCCACGGGGTCCCCAGCACTGGATCCCGCCCATCCCACCTAAGGATTCCCCGTGAGCGACTGAGTTCCTCGGGGACGTCCTCGTTTCGCTAAAGCACCTTTGCTGGTTTCTGCTGCCACCAAAGGCGCCTGACTGTAGCTCCACTGAATCGGGCCCCAACTCACGGTGACCCCATGCACAGCGGAACAAAAGGCCGCCCGGTCCTGCGCCGTTCCCGTGACGAGTTGCGGATCACCTCATTGTGGCCCATGGGGTTTTCACTGGCTAATTTTCAGACGCAGATCACCAGGCCTTTCTCCCTAGTCCATCTTAGCCTGGAAGCTCTGCTGAAGCCTGTTCAGCATCCTAGCAACACGCAAGTCCCCAGTGACCGATGGGTGGTGGCTGAGCATGAGGAGCACTGGCCGGGAGTTGAACCCAGGACTCCCGAATGGAAGGTGAGAGTTCTCCCACGGAGCCATAGCAAGGAAGGAAGATGCAGGTGTGCTTAAAGCGAGTTCGCACTCAACCCAAATCACCACATCCCCGACAAGAGCACGGTCTGTCCCCTTGTGCCCCAGGCCTCACTGCCCACTGCTCCCTCCCCGTTCCCGTCCCCCACCCCACACCCAGCCGCCCAGCTCACCAACAGGCAAGGCTGTGCCTCCTCCAGCTGATTCTGGAGCTGATGCCTTCCCTCCTCCTCCAGACCAGGGCGGCTATGGGCAAGCGGCGGCTTCTTCTCTCTCTCCCCCGACTCCAGCCCCTCCCAGCCCGACCAGAGCAGGGCAGGCAATGAATGACTCAGATCACGTGGTCACACCTGCACACGTTTCACAGTTTACAGCTCCCTCCCGACCACGCCTCCTCCCATCTCATACTTCACAGCTCCCAGAGCAGGCGGGCAAGCAGGCGGGCCGTGCCCTGTGGTCCTGGCCTTGCGGGCTGTTGGCAGGGCGGGAACCCCAAGTTCCATCCACTCCCTCAAAGGCTGGCCAACTGACCAAGTTCTCCTCCAGGCCTGGCCGCCGCCTGCCACCTCCGGGGCGGGCCCGTGGCTCCCCGCCAGGCCCAGGACAAAGGCCCACTTTCTCTGGTGGCCCTGAGCCTTCCTGGGTGGGGGCCTCCGTCCCACAGAGCTTTCCTGCTGTGATTCAGGCCAGGAGGGTGGGGAGGCAGAGTTTCTGCCCAGCCACAGCCAACAGTGGGCCATGTTTGTCCTGGGGCCGAGCGGGCAGCCTCCTAAACCTGCTTCTGAGCTTCCACCCTCTCAGCATCTAGGCTTGGCTCCCTGCACACCTCCCCTGGGAAGGAGGGGGCGGGGTGCTGGGCACCCCACCCTGCTTCTCAGAGTCACAGTGACCCGCCCTACCTACCCAGGTGTGCCTGAGACTGCCTTCCTCCTCCATCTGAGCACAGGGCTATGCTGGGCCCGCAGGGACCACAGGGAGGACGGCCACCACACACAGCGTGATGACAGAGGTGACACAGGTGTGTGGGGACACACAGGCAGGCCGGTCCCTCCCCATCCGGACTGCTCAGCTGGAGCCTCGTTTCTTTTAGGGGTTGAGTCTTGCAGACTTGGGGCAGGGGGAGGGGCTTCTGTCCCTAGACCTGGAGACTGGCTCACAGCTTAGCCCCAGCTCCCCGACCTGGCATCTGCCCTGGCTCCACCGGGGTAGCTCCAGGGGCTGAGGATGTCACTGGCTGTCTTTCTTCTCAGACCCCATTTTGTGCTTCTCCCAGCACTGCTAACGACCCATGGGACTTGTTAGTCTGTGAGCACCACTACCCTCTCATATACCCACCATCCTCCCTCCCTGCCACCCTCCTCTCACCCATCCATCCATCCTCCCATCTGCCCATCCATCCATCTACCCAAGCTCCCACTCAACTTCCCATCCATTTATCTGCCCACTCATCTATCCATCCATCCACTCACCCACATCCATCTATCCACGCATTCCTCTATCCATCCACCCACCCACCCACATCCATCCACCCACCCACCCATCCATCCATCTATACATCCTCCCATCTGCCCATACATCCATCTACCCAACCTCCCATCCAACTTCACATCCATCTATCTGCCCACTCATCTACCCACCATCCTCCCTCCCTGCCACCCTCCTCTCACCCATCCATCCATCCTCCCACCTGCCCATCCGTCCATCTACCCAACTTACCACTCAACTTCCCATCCATCTATCCGCCCACTCATCTATCCATCCACCCACCCACAGCCATCCATCCTCCCACCTGCCCATCCATCTACCCAACTTCCCACTCAACTTCCCAACTATCCATCCACCTACTCATCTATCCATCTACCCACCCACATCCATTTATCCACTCACTCATCTATCCATCCAACTTCCCATCCATCCATCCAGCCATCTACATCCGTCTTCCCATCCATCTGTCCACCTACCCATCCATCTTCCAATCCATCTATCCATCCTCCATGAATCTTTATAGCCAATCAGCTGACCATCCCGATTTCCCTTTCTCCGCACTTTGTTCCCATTCATCCAACAGTTAGATCAGAGGTGATACTCAGATGATCTAACTATTGGTTTGGACAGACACTCATTGATCAGAAAGGGCACCCATGAGCAATACAGGTAGGCACCAGCGACCACCCACTGCGTGTGCTGACACCCAGGCCAGCACTGGGGCCTGCAAACTGCCTCTGACCAGCTCAGACAGGGTGGCCAGCCGCGCTTCTTACTGTAGGCTACAGTCTCCTTGAAGACAGCCCTCCCTTGGTCTTCATGATGACCCCTCCGCTGGCTCCCGGTCCCTGGGGCAGACCTCGTGCCGGGCACTCTCATACACGTCTCAGCCAGGGGTCAGGGCGAGGAAGGGGCCGTTTCAGTTCAGAGGCACAGCCAGACCACATCCCCCAGTGGCTTCTCACTGCAGACCCAGCCTTAGCCTCCTCCTGCCTGTTTCCAAGGCACAGCCCCCGCCTGCCGCTCCGGCCGCCTTCTGTCCCCCTCCCTCCTGCCCACTCTCTTCCGGCCACACTGGCTGTCTTTATGTCCCTTGGACATACCAGCTCTCATTCCCGCCCTGGGCCCTCGGCCCTCGCTGCCCGGAATGCTGCCCACCCACAGAAGGCTGCTCCTTCTCGCGTGCCACATGAGCTTAAATGTCACTTCTGGGAGGGGCCACCCCTCCTCGTCACACGCAGTCCAGACTCTCCGGGTAACACTCCAATTCTCCGAGCTCTCTTTTCCGCTTCTTTACCTCGTCCCCCACTCAGACGTCGGTTCTAGGTGGGCGGGGTGTGTCCACTGTGGTCACTGCTGTCCCCACGCACAGCTCCCGGCCGTGTGGGAAGCCAGGCACGTGGCCAGGGGTGTGCTGCTGGCTGGCCCTTCCCCTTTCTGGGCCTCAGTTTCTCCCCAGACAAGGGCCCCTCCATCTCTGACCTGCTGGTTCAGCCCTGGTCTGTGGCTTCTCCAAGGCCCCCGTCCCCCGCCACTCACCCCCACCTCGCCTTCCTGGAGTCACAGCCCCGCTGGGGGGAGCCTGAGCCGTGTGGTGGTGGGGGTCCCACTGTGCCAGAGGTGTATCTAAGATATGGCAGGTGTGACAGGTGCCCTGCACATCGCCTGCAGCGGGGAGGGACGCTGCCCCCAGCGAGCAGTTTCTATTGGCCACCGCAGTTTCCCTTGCTGGCAATGAGACATCATTCAGCAAGTTGAAGCTGGCACTGATGCTTTCTGTAGCTCCGCCGCGGCCCTGCAATCCCTCCGGGACCAGGCTCGCGGCCACGCTCCTGCTCTCCCACCCCCATGCTGTGTGGGTGGCGGTGCGAGGCCAGGCAGAACGGGGGGCTTCCCTGAGTCTGCCACTTGTTGGCACCCAGACACTCTCCTGCTGCCCCGTTAGGGGTTAAACGGTGTCCCCCCAAAAAGACGCTGAAGTCCTAAGCCAGCACCTGTGAATGTGACCACATCTGGGGAAACAGGGTCTCTGAAGATGTTACCAGTTAACACGGGGTCACACCAGAGCAGGCGGGGTCCTGATCCTAACCCTGTGTGCGTGGTGTCTTCATAAAACAGGAGAACAGACGTGGAGACAGGGTCACACACGGAGGGACAGACAGTACGTGACGCTGGGGGCAGACGCATCCACAAGCAGCAAAGGACGCCACGGATGACCGGCCGCCACCAGAAGCTGGGAGAGAGGCGCCGGGGGGGTTCCTCTCTCAAAGCCCCCAGAAGGGGTCGGCGCGGCCGAGACCCAGACTCGGCCTCCCAGCCTCCCTCGCTGTGAGACAGTAAATTCCTGTTTTTAAAGTCCCCGCTTTGTGGTACTTTTATACGGCAGCCACAGGAAATTAAGACATGCCCCGAACATTCTGGGCAGGGGAGGAGTGTGCCGAGGAAATGGCAAATGTTTTGCACGTTTATTTCACTACGCTA